TGTTTTGTCCTTTCTCCGTGAAACGGAATTGATTTTCTAATTAATGGATAGAAGAAATAAATACATATATAGTGGGTTAGATCATGTAATTCAGATCAGGACATACAATTTGATTTTCAGCATCTTTTATTAAATTTGTTGGTAAGATGTTCTCATGACACCAAACAGCTGTGCTATGTTGACCAAACTACCCATTATCAAAATAGTATCAAAAGCCTGATCAAATACAAATTCGGGATCATGCGACCTATCTCACAGAAGTATCTAATAAATGCGGGATATCCTGAATTTTTTTTTTTTTTTTTTTTTTTTTTTTTTTTTTTTTAATCATTAATCAACCCGAACAAAACGGGAATTCAAGTGTTGTTTACAAGCTTGGATCGAACAAAATTATCTAAATCTACACATAGCACCTTTTGCTTCGTTCGCCCGCCAAACCGACACGTTCCGCTAGAGTGCGCCGAGATCCTTAGACTATCAATATCCGTTCTCAACCAATGATGAAAACCACTACAAAGGGCGAGGTTTACCTCGTTGCCTCGGATGCCGGTCTTTGCGTGTCATCACTAGAGTNCTTGGATCGAACAAAATTATCTAAATCTACACATAGCACCTTTTGCTTCGTTCGCCCGCCAAACCGACACGTTCCGCTAGAGTGCGCCGAGATCCTTAGACTATCAATATCCGTTCTCAACCAATGATGAAAACCACTACAAAGGGCGAGGTTTACCTCGTTGCCTCGGATGCCGGTCTTTGCGTGTCATCACTAGAGTAGCTGGCTAATGACGATCTCACCAAGCTTGCTTAGTACACTGATCTTTGAAGCACAAGACGAACTAAAGAAGGATGGTACAAAATAATCTTACCAGATCAAGTACCCATCTGTACTCCTGCCTCAGTCGCCGAACCAGAGCAAAAAACGAGTTTGAAGAAGCACCCGCCTGGATGAAACAATAACACTCATAACCTGCACAAGGAAGATAGAAGCCACACTACCAACAAGGACAAATGACCACCGCTGGTACTGGGATATGCGACTTCAATCGAAAGGAGCCTTCGAGAGGCAGAATGGAGCCGTAGACCACCTCGACCCACCATCTACCTTCGCCTTCCGCTGCCGCCGAGAACCGAAGACAGAAACCTTGGGACCGTTTGATATGTTTCCTTAGGCTTCAGAAACACATAGCACTAGAAACAACAGAGCGCCCTTAAGAGGACCAGACGCCAAAGCCTCAAAAGATAATGCCCACCAGACCCAGTAGAGGAGGTGAAAAAACTTGAAAGGCAAAGAACCCGAAAACAGACCAGCCATAGACGACAGCGTCTTCACTGGTTTTCAGCCTTCTCGAGCAGGAATCAAAGACATAGCCTCACCACGCAGCAAGAGCTCTGCTCTGTACTCGAAACCGAGGAAGAAATCCTCCGGAGCAAGTCCAAGAGAGTGAGAACAAAGGAAGACGCTCCAAGACACCTCAGAACGATCAATCCAATGAAACACCCGCCCCTTGACCAAACCAGTAACCAGCAGGCCTCTCCGCCACCGACAGAGGAAGACCCAACCACCGCTAATTGCTGGAAGAAGACAAGAACACCATCTCCGCCTCGCGTTGCTTCCTCGGAGACCGTACGGAGAATAGATCTCCAGATCTGAAAATCACAGCCTCCAAAACCCTAAAAGCCGACGCCTTTCCAGCCTTGCTCCACCAAACCCTCGTCGCTGCTCCGAAGACGCTTCCACTGGCGTACAAGCTCCGTCGCGAACGAAGGCAAGACACGGAGGAGCTACTCAGAGAAGGAGACATATTGGGGAGGGAGACAAAGACCGAAGAAGACGCAAAGAGAAGACAAGGAAGAGAAAAGGAAGGGTCCCGCCGGAACCAGACAGTCACGTGGCGCTCTTCCGCGCGCTCACGGACGCCGGACCGGAGGAAAAACGATTGGTGCCTTAGATGTCGCTCGAGAGAGAAAAGTTGGGTCTCAGAGAAGGAGACATATCCTGAAATTTTAGACACACTAAAACTATGTTTGTGTTTGTTCCAACAAAAAAAAAAACTATGTTTGTGTTATTTTCTAGTATGATATCTACACACTTCCAGTATTCACAACCACAATCCTAAAGTTGGTTTTGGGACGTTAGAGAAGTAAATCCCAATACATATACCTGATTGATGCTGCATGCAGCCTTTTGCTTGTGAGGTATTTGAAACCATATCATTATATATATTGCTTGTGATGGTTGTTGTATGATATAGTGCTCCAGATATATAGTTTATATATATATATATATATATATATATGCGAGCAATACGTCACGAAGCGTTGGAAACTTTGGTGAACAAATAAAACATTGACATTGGTAAAAAAGTCTTATAGTAGGCATAAAATATACCTCTAGGGATCTGGCAGAGACGGTACGAGGATTCACGAAAAGTGATCACTAACCACTCTCTCTGTGGTCCTAAAGACCAAAATTTTGTAAGAGTTTGAGACTTTCTTTCGTCTGAAAATCTTCTTTATGTGGTCCTGCTCTGTAACAATGTACGGAGTCTCTCTTTAATGTTTATATATACACACAGATTGACCTACAGGATATTAATATATTACCTACGCACAACGATTTATCAATTTGGACAATTATGTAAAACATAAAAGATCTTTTGGTCCTCAAAATGTTAATCATTTTTGTAATTAGAATGATTGTTTTTTTTTACTATTTTTTTCTATTAGAATGATTGTTACTACGCATTTTAAATCGCCATTCAGCATATTGCTTGACTGCATTTGTTCTATCCATTCTCTTTGTATGACAATAACATTATTGTATACAATACAGTTCTTAGATATCATAACTTCAAGCATTTTGACGATTGGTTATTTACTATAAAGTTATATACAAATCCTTTGTTATGTTTCTGATTGGTTGAATAGGCTAAACATACGCATTAAATTTCTATAAAAGTACGTAGGAAACTTTTTTTATCGCAATTTAAATTAAAGTTTATTGGTCTGCATAAAGAAACTAAATCAGTCTATATACACATTCACACTTATTCATCCAAACGATTTTTTTAACATATTAAGAAAGAGATTTGTATGAACATTGTTTAGTTAGTTTATAGATAACAGATCTGACGCATATGAAGTAGTAAGATGAACTTTGCTGATTTGGACGGTGAATCTGCAGATCACTCATAGGGACCCTAAATACAACTAGAAAGAAGAAAAAACAAAAACAGGAGGAAAGAGATAACACATATTATACATTCAATATCAATATATATTAATATTAATACTATATATTAGTGACATGCATGCATCCTGACAAAAGTCACAAAACGGATGGTGTTATTATTTTCTCTATTTAAATAGGGAGAACCGGAGAAATATATATACACATAGTACCCATCTTGGACAATTTAGTCAAACAAACAATTTTTCTTCGCCTTAGTTCTTGGACTATTTTCATCGATCCATTTCAGTTGAACGAGTGTTTTTTGATATGTACGAACGAATATTTTGGATGGAGTTTCTACTTCTATCACAACCTTGCCAGTAAACCTAATATTACGTTCTTTGTTCATTGAAGGCTGTTTTGTTGTCTTTTTTTTTATAACTTTGTTTATATTGTTTCCTTAATTATTAATATTCAAGTTAAGCATGAGACTATTGCTGCTATGTAAAACTACAGATATCCAGGTATCTGAACCAACATGAAGACTGATGAATTTGATGTTTTAGCGTTAGATAATATATATCCGAATGTCACGTTTGGGTAAATTATAAAATATAAACATACTTTTCCTTAAACAATAAGTTGAAACTCAAAAAGAAAAATATTGAAACTCTTGCTTTGGTCCAAAACACACCAAGCAACGGCGCAAGTGTTTTTAATCACTTTTTAAACTGGTGCAAGTGCATCTGATGTGTCGCGCACTTGAATGATTAGCAATCACAAGAAGTGCCAAAAGGATATATTCTTATGAACTTTTTCATTTATTTGTATTATTATTGAAATAAAACCTATAAAGCGTATACGATCAACTAATGAACAGATTCATGCATTTATCATGTATAGCATTTTTAAAGTGTTAAAATTTAGTATATTATCTGCGGCTCTTTGAAATTTCTGTAAGCCTGCTGCTAACTGTAGGTAATTTATCTGACCTTTGACGAAAATGGTATGCGAGTTTCACCTAAAAGGTGTTCAGCAGAAAAGAGGCCCATTAATAGCTTTGCTACTTTACTTAGTGAATAACGTTAGCCCATTTAAAGCCCATAGTTACTGTACCCGCCGAAAATGCATAACTACGGCTATCCTTCGATTTGTTTATTTAAGCTCAGTTATGAACATTTCCATGATTATTAATACTAAAGTTAAATCCGTAAACGATATTATAAATATGACTGATCTCCTTACTTTGAAAATTATATCTCCATTTGGAGCTTTTTATTCGTTCAACTACGTAACACTAGTTTAAGAATTTGAATTTCTGACAAAATGTAATAAGTAAAAAAAAAATATAAATCCATGAACTTGTGTATAACTAAAAAAGAAGTTATGTATAACTATTATTATTTTTTTTTTAAATTTCGAATAGTAATTAGTTACAAAATATAAAAAGAAACATGATTTGGCTTTGTATACACGACGTACGCAAACACAGAAGTGATTGAAAAGTGAAGTGGGATATGAAACTTGCTATCTAAGGAAAGATAATACGACCAAAATAACTCAAAGAAAAGAGAGACTGAGAGAGTTAATCAGTTTTAACTCGATCGAAGATAAGAGAGATGTTGAATAACTTCTCATAACAACAAACAAACTGCCTTGTGACTCACGTGAAGACTTCAAGAACCAAAGATCAAGATCTCACTCTCTATAAATACCTCTTCATCTGATTCTTTCTCTGTCATCACGTTTTCACTCTCTCATCTCTTTGGCTCTTCTCGTCACCGTCTCCGCCGCAAGATAGAGACGTTTTCACCGTCGTCTTCTCACAATGGTTTTTACTTTTACTTCTTCTATATCTCTTTGACCTCAAATCTCTCTCTCTCGGAGATTACTGATTCTTCTCTCCCTCTTATCTTTTTGCAGGAAATCGAACAAACCCTAACATCATCTCCCGCCGCCACACAACAACAAACCCTACCAGCTCCCTCCGCCGCACAACAACAACAACCACAAACCCTAACCGGAAGATTCTGCAGATGCCTCTTCACGTCTATTTTCTACCTACAACTCATCCTAATCTCAGCCCTAGTCATCTTTCTCACACTCAGAGGTCTACTCTTCACCAAATCACCAAACTTCCTCCCCAAGAAATGGTACACCCCTCTGTTATCCTCTGTCGCCATCTCAGGACTCCTCTCTTTAGCCTGGCAATGCTTCTTCCTCTCCAACATAGCAGCGACATCCAAAGCCACCATCATCCTCACTCCGCTACTCACATTCTCCGTAGGGCTCTTCCTTGTAACCTACGGCAAAACCTATGTTCCAGCGATCGGTGGCGTTCTCGTGTTCTTCAGCTTTGCTCAGGCCTCTCATGGTTGGTGTGTCGTTACTCGTAGGAGGCGTGATTTCACCTTCCATATCATGACACTCTCCACAACCGTTCTACCTCCAAGAACCAGAGTAATAGCTGTTGTGTCATCGATCTTAAGCGTCTTGTACTCTGCTTTCTTGGTGGCTGGAATCGGTGGAGCTACCGCTACAAGAAAAGGTCTTGTTGACATTCTTTTCATCTCTTTAATCATGATAAGCTTTGCCTGGACGATGCAAGTTCTCAAGAACGTACAAGTAGTCGCTATTTCCAAAGCTGCGTACGTGCACTTTGCTCGCGGTGGGGTCATGAGCGCATGTGGGGCTATTTGTAGCCAGTTCGGGAGCGTTTGTATTGGTTCAACACTAGTTCCAGTCTTTGTAGTCATCAGGGGAATGATCAGAGCTTGTAACAAGATGGGCAATGACGGTGTCCGGACCATGTATGCAGGTGATGAAGACTGCTCTTGGGTTGTTAATCATGTGGTCTTAGTGGGAAACAGATATGGTTTTGTTCATGTGGGAGTTCACAACAAAGGCTTTGTGCAAGCGTCTAGAGATACTTGGCAAGAGTTTAGAAGAACGGCTGGCTTGGAGGAGCTTGTAGATGCTGACCTCACTAGCTCCATCTGCTTCCTTAGTGCCTTTGGTATTGGAGCAGTGTCTGCATTAACTGCAGGGATATGGGAGCTTAATATCCATAAGGAATACTTCTTTCAGATGACTCTCTATGCCTTCATCATTGGATACTTTGTGGTAAGCTTTCATCATTATCAAAACAAAGGAATAGAAACGGCTTAGCTCATGTAAAACTTGTGTGTGTTTGGTGTGTATGTTTCAGGGGAGAGTTTCATCTGCTTGGCTGCAAGCATGTGTTATGGCTTACTTTGTAGCTTATGCTGCTGATCCAAATGGAGATAGGTTTGACAACACAATTCGAGAACGTATTGCGCGGCAAGATGTTGAAGAGACTATAAGATTAGCTGATAGAGAAGTGAGACAGCGGGAGGATGAACCGGAGATCACATACATGTAGAGAGGGAGACTTAGTACAGAGACATACTTTTTTTTTTTTTTGGTTTTACTTTTCGATTTCATTGAGGCTCTTTCAACCTTATAAAGACTATGTTGATTGGGTATTGTTTAGATTGATATGCAAAAATGCAGCTAGAGAAGGAATGTACATACAAAAGTAACACAAAAGATTAATTCAGTTCTCTATCATTTCCCTGTTTTACTTCCTTTCATTCGGTTTCCATTGTATGTATGTCTATGTTTGAATCTGAATGTGTTACCTATTGCCTGAAAAATCACAAGCTGAAAAAACCTTGAGTTATGTGCATCATCATATCCAACCAAGCAAATAGTAATCTTTCTCTAGGACTAGAAGTCATAGCATAACATATCATTCAATTGTTACTTATATGCCAATAAAGCGTAGTCATCATCATCATCACAACAAAAAAAATCTGTGAACAAATACATTATCCCATGTCAAAACAGTTCCATGATTTTTGAGTTGTGAAACTAAACATACAAATGCTAATAGACATACTTTACTAATGCTACTACTCGAAATCATCAAAAAATTCCTGAGATTTAAAAGTGCTTGGCCAAATTCCATTCATTTTTAAGGCCAGTTATATCAACTTTATACTCTTCATTGCACTTCTTTTATTCAATAACTAATAAGCCCAACATATTTTCTCTTCTGGCCCATAGATTGTGAGGTCTGGTTCTGCATATAAAGTTGATCTTTTCTCCATGTAAGATTTCATTATCTGCAAATCTAACTTTATTTACAAAAATTAAGAAAATAGTATATGGATTTTTCGATTGAAGGGGACGTACGTGTTGGTTCTTGTGTCAATGGCATTGCATTTACTCACTTAGACAACTTAGCTCTCAAGCAATGAATAAATCAATGTAAAGCAAAAAAAGAGACGCGTTTGAAGACCGCGTTGCTCTAAAGACTTGAATACTTTCACGGGTCACGGTTCACACTGACAAGTATTCACTTGCTAGTTGATATATATATATGTATATATATATATATATATATATATATATATATATATATATTTATCTACGATTTTAATTGGAAACAAACATTATCGCAACCTTTTAAATAAAAAAATAAAATAAAAATCTTCTACTAAATCGGAATTCCTCATCTTTCCACCGGCTTGCTCGTTTTCGTTCTCATTTTGTAAAGTAAAAGTCCACTTCATGACACAATTATCTTCATGCGCCTATTAATTCCTTTGTTAATTTTATCTCAGCAATATAGATTATATGAATTCCTTTTTAAATATTTATGTTCTTAACAAACCAAATAAATTCTTAACATAATGCCCACTGAAGCCCAATCATACCTTTGCAGTATCTCAAGTTTTCTGTTTTATGCTCATTCTTTGTTTTTTTGCATGTTTTTTCCTCTCTTCCATTTAACTAGCTAAATTTAAGGGATGTTACTGGTTTGTGAGTTCAAAAGAGTTTTGCTAATTTTTTAATTTTAAAAGTTTACTAAATTTTATAAGAGTTATGTTTCTGTAAAAGTTTTGTCAATTCGTTTATTCTGTAAAAGTTTTGTCAATACGTTTATAGATTATTGTAGATTATCTAATAAGATAATTGTAACTTTCTGAAGAGTTTAACTTTAAATATTACATAATATTAAGTTTTTGTGTTTGTTAATTTTCATTATCTCTTTGCTATAAACCATTAATTTGATATCAAAGTAGCTTTTGGATATATAATTTCTCGTAGTTAGTCTCAAAAAATCTAATTACTGAGAGATGTATTTTTTAAACTAGAAATCCGAAACCAAGAATGTATGGATTAAAGTTTTTAAATGAATAGTAGTATAATGAGGAAACAAATTTCAGCGTTGTTTACTGCTATGATGTTCATCTGAGTCATAAATGTGCACTATAAAAAACTCATATTAAATTACTTTGAATAAGAGAGAATGCTTAATCTAACTAAATGATAAATGATGATTCAAACATAACATAAATCTAAAACGTTTAAATACTTAAGAAAAAATATTATAGTGCTTTTTTGCCATAAATCTAAAAAAATCTAACTGTTAACTTACAACTAGAATAATATCATGTCAATGTTATATTTTTTTCAATTGCATGTTAGCAATATATAGTTTTTCATATTTCAAACTTTATCTAAATCACCTTCAATTTTTTAAAAACTAAATCACATATATAATTTCTCATATTTCAAAATATATATTGTATTAGATCACTCAACATAAATTACTTATCTTTGTTCTCGTTAGATTTACAATAAGTGTTAGGTAAGTATAGATTATTTTTTGGATAATACTGAACATGTAATTGTTTTTATTTTGCTTAATGAACACTTTAAATAGAGAGAACATTTTAATTATATATATGATATTACTTGATGCCATTGAAAAAAAATTGGGCAACACTAGTACACATCACAAATGCATTATAATAGTAAATTGATTAATTATTTGTTGATGTTTATTCAAAAAATAAAATGAAAATATAAAAAATAATACAGAAACAAGCAATAATTAGACAAAACTTAAGGTAATCATTTTAATTTGAGCAAAAAAGGTAATCAGTTTAAAATAAGCTTGTGGATTTTATCCAAAATAGATTTAGTGTAGCATAAACCACATGCTTTAACCGATCAAAACTAAGCTCAAACAATAAATAATTTAGAACACTCACCATCTTATTCCACATAATCTTGTTTAGATTGCAACAACACTTTAGTGTTTTAGTTAAACAAATATAATAGTACGAGATTTTTAAATGAAACATATGAACCACCACTTCAACATATGCATACAAAAAACAAATTAATAACAAATAGTTACAAAAGAACAAACATCTCATCTATTTTGAGTAATTTGAAGTGAATATGATATGTATCTTGTAATTACAACTATTTCTTTCATTTGAAAGATTGGATTATAGGTTAATAATAATCACTGTTGGATAAAATATATTCATGATTGTCATTATCATCTCAAAGAGAATTATAAGTTGAAAGACATTTAATATGATTTTAAAGTAACACAAATCCTAGAAAACTATATATTATAACATCTCAAAAGATTCTTTGTTAGAATAGATTTGATACAATTAATTTTTCGATATTCACTAATACAAGCCCGTTAAATCATGGAGAGACAAATAATAATAAATTCGACAACATATTAAAATAAAACTGAATCTTGATAATCTTGATTTCTGCTGCTTTCTCAACCATGGTCTTACATCGAGGTTCGCCTCCACATACCATAGTTTGTTCATTTTTATCGTGAGCCGCCCAAATCCATGTAACTTTTATTGTCAAATTCGTCAATGCAAGTTAAGAAATCTCCATCCCCAGTAATCACCAAAATGTGCTTCATATCATTCTCGAACATTGACAAACACAACACTGCGATCATCCATCTTTATTTTTCAAGTATGATTTTCAAGTATGATTTTTATTGCTTGATTAAATAAACATTGAGCTAAACTTAAAAAGAGAGGAAGATATAGAGGTGACATAATCATGGAATCAAGATTGTAAAGAGAGACAGGTGAACAGACAAATCACATTTGAGCAACAATAATCGAGACTACTCCGACTAATTTAAAACATAATATGTAATGTATATATAGTGGCATTAATAGTCTAGTAGCATTTTTAGTAGAATGGGAGACAAGTAACTTCGAAATATGTATATATAAATTTCACATGGAATGTATGATTTCAAAAGTTACTAGTCTTCCATCTACTAGAATGTCATTAGACTATTATTTTTGTTTTTGTTTTTCTTTTTCTTATAAAACTAGGACAACTTTTTTTGTATGTGTCATTTTTGTGTATGACCTATCTTTGTTTTGGGTCATGTTAATCTTCCGTATGGTTCCAATATTATCGGATATCCTCTAAGGAACTTAATTGCTTCTTGCTAATACTTCTTTAAGTTATCCTAAATTGTGGAGCTGGATGTAACAGACTAGAGTTGGTGATCTTAAGTTCTATTACTAATGGCTACTTGAAAAGAGTTCACGCAGATAATGAAACACCACCAAACAAGCAAAACTGAGTACTATAACTTTATCGAAACATCAAAATTAATGTTTATAATATTTTCTCACTATTTAACTAAAACATTCAAAATTTAACTATATCCGGTTTACGTTCAAACATACCATTTCCGTTTTGTAATCTCGGTATAAGCAAGGAAACGTGTTTGAAGAGACCGCATTGCTCTCAAGACTCGGCACTTTTACTGGTCATGGTTCAGACTGATATGTCTCATTTACTTGCTAGTTGATATATTTATTTTCTTCGTTTTTATTCGGAAATAAACATTATCACAACCTTATACTTGTACTAAATCCAAATCTCTTCACCGGCCTACTTGCTTTGTAAAGTAAAAAGTCGACTTCGTGAGACAATAATCTTTAGTTATGCGACTATGTTTTCCTTTGTTAACTTTATATCTTTATCTGAGTATTATATTAGATCCTTTTATCAGTCATTTTCTGGCAGATTTGTTTATGATATAGTCGCTGGGTCACCTTAATTGTAAGATCTCTGTATAACAAATTTCTCATGGAATGTATAAAAAGATTAAAAAGAAGTCCTCAGTTTCCCATCCCACAAGACCGCCATTAGACATTAATTTCTTGTTAATACATTTACAAGTTATCCTAACATATGTCATTGGAAGTAAAGTAACAGACTAGACTAGAGGCGGGGATTACCAATAACTACTGACTACTAAAAAAGAGTTCACACAGTCAATGAAACTCCAAACAGCAAAACAAAATACAATTATTCATCAAATTATCAAAACTAATGTTATATATTCTCTCTCATAACTTAAATAAAACATTCATCACCAAACTTTATTCCGGTTAAGTTTTTTTTTTTGTTTTTTTTGTTCAACATTCCGGTTAAGTTTAATTATTCATTTTGTATGTGTGCAGTGAGCAATATTCCGGTTGGAATCATAAACCGGTTAAATTATAATTGGTTACTGATAACAAACAAAACCAGAATGTCTTTCTAGTCAAAAAGCACAAAAAGATATTCTGGGCCGGCTTCTTAAAATTAACATTTTTAATTGCGGAAAGCCTCGTCTTCCTATCCCTTTCCTTGAAAACGTAATGGAATAAGAAAATGACGCAAGGTTGATCGTGAAGGCGACACATATGCTCATTTTGCATATACACCGATGCCCCCAAAACAGTAATGACAAAGCTTCACACTTTTTTATATAAAGAAAGCTAAAATACAATTCGGATCCTCTGTTTCTGACGTCTGTCTTCAGCAGGTCCTCTTCAAAAGTGTGTCTGTGTGTGTGGGTTTCTTCTTCGCTACGAGAACTCTTCCGCAATCAAGTAGATTCCTTCCTTCTTTCCTTTATCCAAATCTCAATAAAGGTTAGAGCTTTATCTTCCTTCCTATCTATCTCTCCGCGTCGAGTTCGTTTCGTGATCTATTGAGGCAAACCCATTAATAGATTTCTCTTTTCCTTTTGTAAAAATCTCACCTTTCTTGTTTGCTCTGTTTTGGTCCGGTTTGCTCTGTTTTGATCAGGTTTGCTCTGTTTTGATCAGGTTTTCTCTGTTTTTGATCTTTCCAGGTTTCATCTGATTGATGGGATATCCATTTTCTTCAACCCGTTCTGGCCACTCTACAATCACATTCCTCATCCTCCTCTGTCTCCTCTTCACAACCTCTGTTGATTCCAGCGCCTTGAAACCCAAATCAGACCATGACTGCAGTGCTCTGAATCACTTCCACGACTACAAAGCAAAGTGCTATTACCTAAAATCCATCGACCCTTGCGCGAGCCAAGGCTTCATCGACTACCTCTCCTTGCTCTACTGCAACTTCGATGGTTTCCCAGTTTTGGGTCAGTCCCTTCTCTTCCTCTGGCTCCTTGTTCTGTTCTACGTGTTGGGTCACACAGCTTCTGAGTATTTCTGTTCTTCTCTCGAAAGCCTCTCAAAGCTTTTAAATTTATCTCCAACCGTCGCCGGCGTTACGCTTCTCTCTCTTGGTAACGGCGCTCCTGATTTGTTCGCTAGTTTAGTCTCTTTCATGGGAGAGTCAAAAGGTACTTACGATGTTGGTCTCAATACCGTTGTTGGAGGCTCTTCTTTTGTTACTTGTGTTGTGGTTGGGATTATAAGTGTCTCGTTGCATAGGAGAAGGGTTAAGATAGAGAGGTCTGCTTTTATAAGAGACGTTTGTTTCTTCTGTGCTGCGGTTGGCTCATTGGCTTTGGTTTTGGTTTATGGGAAGATTAATCTCTGGGGAGCTCTTGGGTTTTGTTCTTTGTACGCTGTTTATGTTGTCTTTGTGTATTTGTCGTGGAGGTTTGGTGGAGAGAGTGGTGAGTTTGATGTTGAGTCGGTTCATAAAAGGGGTGGTGGGACTCTTAGTGAACCAATCTTGGAGCAGAGAGATGATCTTGATGAAGATGTTGTTGTTGTTGTTGATGATGATGGGAGATGTTACTGGAAGTTAGTGGTTTGGGTTATTACTTTACCTCTCTACTTGCCGAGGAGATTAACTATACCTGTCGTGAGTGAAGAGAGATGGTCTAAACCAATAGCTGTTGCTTCAGTCACATTTGCTCCGGTTCTGTTGTCGTTTCTATGGAACTGGAAGCGGAAACCGACAAACTTTGAGGCGAGTATTGTGTATCTAACCGGGTGTTTGGTCGGTATAGTTCTTGGATTCATCGCAGGAGCCACAACGAAGAAGTCAAACCCACCAAAGAAATGGTTACTACCTTGGTTAGCAGGAGGTTTTGTAATGAGCATGACGTGGAGTTACATATCAGCGCAGGAGCTAGTCGCGCTTTTAACTTCACTAGGTTACATCTTCGGTGTAAGCCCTTCCATCTTGGGTCTCACGGTTCTCGCTTGGGGGAACTCTATAGGAGATCTTATAACCAATGTGACAATGGCTCTGCACGATGGGGACGAAGGAGCTCAAGTGGCTGTATCAGGATGTTACGCTGGTCCTATCTTCAATACTTTGTTTGCTCTAGGGGTGTCGCTTGTGGGATGCGCGTGGGAGATTTATCCGTCGAGCATTGTGATTAAGACTGATTATCGTGTGTTGGAGAGTCTTGGGTTTCTGGTTATAGGACTTGTTTGGTCGTTTTTGGTTTTGTTTAGTAATAGAATGAGGCTTGGTGCTGTGATGGGTATTGGGCTTTTGGTCATTTACTTGGCTTCATTGTCTATACGTATTGTACAAACAGTTGGAGATTCTCACTAACCTTTTGATTTTTAACTCCCAGTTTCAATGTAGCATGTGTTTGTAATTTGTATGATCCAGCTTCTACACTGTGAAGGGAATCAATTTTGTATACATGTATGGTGACTAATGTAGATTTATAACATAAAGAGTTTTCATCATAAATGGATACAAGGTTGGTTGATACAATGTTATAATTTAAATTTCATACATGATTTCACTTGACAACTGGAGTTATGGATGGCTCTATAGTATGGTTTGAATAGTACAAAGATTATCATTTATCTCGAGTATGAGATACATAAATTTATAGTTAATTTTATAGTTATGGTCTATGGAACTTCATGGAAGTCAAATTGAGTAGCTAGAATTTGAATAGGTGTCAGATACTCGACTTAAGAGCATCCTCATCCCACAAACTCATTATGGGTCTCCTAATCAATTTTTTATAATATTTAAACCATAAAGTGTATTAAGAGAATTGATTAAGAGATTTGAGAATTTGATGTCTCCATTGCAAGTCTCTTGTTTGAGAGTTCTTAAAAATAAAATAATAATAAATAATTTGTTACTAAACATATTCTTTTTTATTAAATAGAAGATAACAAAAGATAACATAGATTTGAAACATAGATTTGAAAATAAAAATAAAACACACATTACTAAAATAAACGAGAATACTTAAAAAAAAAAAACATTTGAGATTAGTTGTTGTCTTCACCACCTCCAAATCTACGCCAAATATGTTCAACCAAATCATTTTTGAGTTGTTGATGCATTTGTTTATCACGAAGCTTTGTTCGAACATTCAAACGATTTGTGATATTTGAAGGAATATCGGTAGCATACGCCAGATCGACATGTGAACTTCGATTGTCTTCTCCTTGTTGAAACTCCGAAATATC